CGTGGTGGCAGCTGAGACTGTAGATCAGAGAAAGATGAGGAGGAGTTGTAAGAATTCAGAAAACGAAGACTAAATTATTTTAGGATAAGTGTAATCACTGGAGAAATGAGACCTGTGTAACTTGGGCATGTGTTGGGCTGTACTGAAACTTTGGACAAAAATGAAAGGATGTTGCATCATGGTGATATTAGAGGAGAGTAGATGGTTAAAGGGGCAAAATAAGCCTTGAACTCTAAACACGATGCAGTTCCACAAAGAGCCACTTGTTTTTCCTCCTGCTGTGGCACTCGCTGCATTAGGAGAGCCGCGTCAGCAAGGCTGTGGAAGTGATGATTCAACACGTGGAAAACCTAAAGCGCATGTACGCAAAAGAGCACGCAGAACTCGAGGAGCTGAAACAGGTCCTGATCCAGAACGAGAGATCCTTCAGCTCTCTTGGAGAGCGAGGTAAAGCTGCTTTGTCCTTCCTCTTTCTAGCACGTGCCAGATTGACCATTATTTAACTGAAGTTTAACATATTAGGTGGAGGGGTTGTGTGACTCCAGTATCTCCTTTCCTAAAAATAGAGGGGAAAAAAAATAGCAATTTACTAACAGTATTAGTAACAACTCTCTGAAATGAGACTTGTATGTAAACTGTCGCGAATCTCGGGTGGGGGAAAACATTGCAAGCGTGCAATATAATGTTCTGGCTTTTAGAAAAGTGCATTGCAAGTGGTGGGGATAATCTTACTCCTTGTGTGCAGTAAAATTGGGTGCTCACATGCACTGGAGCATTCCCAGTAGCTATTTCCAGGTAGCTGAGCTTTGCTCTCTACAGATGCTTCCTGCTCTACTCTAAATATGAGTTGCAGACTCAGGTGCTCTGAATTTCTCCCTCTAAGCAGATGGTACAGTGGTCAGGTCTTCAGATGGCACTATGCACGTGTGGCTTTGCCAGAGAAGGATTAAATTCTTCTGAAAGATAAAGCATGCCTTTTAAAACCAGAAAGGGCAGTCTTGCACACCGGTGAAATCCTTGCAGGAGCCTGCTGAGTTACGGGCTATTCCTTCCTGACTATAAAAGATTGTCCTGTAAGAGGACACTGCCTTGATAATAGAAGAATACATTTAATGGTAGCAGTGAAAATTAATGCTTGTAGAGGATGTATAATGTGGGAATATTATGAATTATCTAATGAAATAGGAAGCTTTTTCCTGAAATCTGCTTTCTGAGAGTACTCTGCTAACCTCTTCGCTTAACCAGGTACTGCAAAAAGTCAGACCTTTAGTTGCAAATAAAGCTCACTGCATTACTGTAAGCCTTCCTGGTTTTTGATCTCTTCACAGATGACTCTACGAATAAAAAGCTACCAAATTCTTTTAACTTTAAGGTAATGGCTGTGACAGCTTAACATGAAATTTCAAGTGTGTTTTTTAAGAGTGTGTGTGTTTGTGTTTTTATTTGCCTTGTCATGTGCTGGTGCCTCTGCTACAGGTACTACTTGGTAGTTTCCTGTCTCAAACATGGGCTGATATCATTAAACACGAGGATATATTTATTTTCAATCACCCCCACCAACCCAAGGGAACTGCATGTGGTCCCACTTAGAAGATGAAGTTTTCACAGAAGCTGAAATGGCTGTGCTCTCATGCAGGGGCTGAGAAGTATTGATCATCTACCATTCTCTCATCAGGCCCACAGAAGAAGGGTTTAGCACAGAGAGATTAAATAATAGGTGGGGGCAATTCAAATTGATGGTAGGAATTCCTGTGAGCACCGTTAGGAGAACTTGGGTGCCTTCAATTTCAGTATTTTGCTGGAAGCTGTGTCGCCAGCCTTACTTCAGATGCCTAGAGCGGGAAAAGCAGATAATGTGGAAAGATGCTGCCTTAAAGAATATGGTTTGAGCTGTGCTTATTATCTGATTCTTCTTTGTGCATCACTTCAAGCTCAGTATCAACATGTAATTTTTTTATACAGTTTGTATATAAAAAAAAACCCCAAATCAAACCAAAACAAACCAACCACAAAAAACCAGATGGTATTTTATGTTTTAGTGAATAATCCAGTCATTCCTTGATAGAGTCAGTAATGCCTCTTATTTGTATAGCCATCATCATCCCTACGAAGAGTCAGCATTGCAACGTTGCCGAGGAGTGCTGGAAACGCAGGTATTGGGGTGCCACTGGTGAGTAAGGGTTCCCCGACGGTGAGGTGCTTCACCTTCTCACAACTGCCTGGACTGAAGTGTGAAAATGCCAGTGCAGTAAGTCTGTCAAACTTCTTCTCCAGGCCCAACTCCTTGAACCCGAGGGAGATGAACGGAGTGATAAATTCAACAGGAGATCGAGCAGTTGGTAAAGTTACTCGGGCTTGTCTTTGAACAGGGTTAAATATTTTCAGCTCTAACTGTGCTTGTGTTAAGCAGCTTTTGGATCATTTTGGGATATAATAATGTTTAAGCTCTACACCTTTACGTTAGTTTTACAGGCTTCAATAGGTAAATCAGCCTTCATGACTAAATGTTACAGCTCTTTTTTTATTTTGTTATTAAGAGTTGAGAGTTTTAAAAAAAAATTACCTCAATGTTCTTGCTTCAGAAATAAATATGAAATTTAGGCAGCTGGCATTGATGGATCTGGTTGTTTTGGGGTTTTTTTTTTGTGGGGGGGGGGGG